TATTTCATCCCTCTGCCCCGATTATAGTCACTTTTCCCCGCGTTCCTAATCGTCCCTCCGCCGGGATCCCGCCGTCCGGATTCTAACCGCGAAACGAAATCACCGTTAATGAGGAGGTGATCAAAGGTGGGCCCGACGGGAGCTCCTGCGGGGCAGGGGAGGGGTGGGGGGGGCTCAGGGCACCAGCTGGGGCTCGTTTCTCACGATGACAACAGAGGGAAGGAGGAGATATATGGAAGTCAAGGGAGAGCCCCTCGATTGTCATCTCCAAACGATTTTTCAGCGGTGCAACAGGTCGGGAGCTGCTCCCCTGCCTTTGTGTCCAGGTGGGTGCCTCGCAGCCTGTTTTCTCGCACTGGGGGGAGGCGGGGAAGATGCTTGATGAGTCCCGTGCCCCCTTCTAGCCCAGGCCAGGCTGGGGAGGACATAAAGCATCCTCCTTCCCCACCCCCCCTCCCCCCCAACCTCCGTTTAATGGGGTACACCCGCCTGCAGCCTTCATCGCCGCCTCGTCGGGGCTGGGGGGCCCGGCCATGAGTGCCCACCTGGCCATGCCACCCTACCTGCCCTACCCCGGCACCGTTAGGTATGGGGATTATTACTGGTTCTCCCCAGGGAGCATGGACAACATGCCCGTCGAGGAGGCTCCAGGGCCGGCGGGCTGCTCCCCTGCCTTTGTGTCCAGGTGGGTGCCTCGCAGCCTGTTTTCTCGCACTGGGGGGAGGCGGGGAAGATGCTTGATGAGTCCCGTGCCCTCATTTGTACTTCTGCCAGGTGGTTTTCAAGGTTTTGTAACTCCCGGGCTATGAGATCCTCCCAATAAGCCTTTAATTTCCTTAAAGGAAGCAGTAATAGTTTGGGGTGGGGGGAGGGTGTATCTTCCTCAAGCAGACCATAGATAGACCTTGGCTTCAAACCCTTAAAGACCTACAAAGGATCTCCTTTAGCTCCACTGCTCTGCTTTCCTTTGGGATCTTTGTCATCTCCAAACGATTTTTCAGCGGTGCAACAGGTCGGGAGCTGCTCCCCTGCCTTTGTGTCCAGGTGGGTGCCTCGCAGCCTGTTTTCTCGCACTGGGGGGAGGCGGGGAAGATGCTTGATGAGTCCCGTGCCCTCATTTGTACTTCTGCCAGGTGGTTTTCAAGGTTTTGTAACTCCCGGGCTGTGAGATCCTCCCAATAAGCCTTTAATTTCCTTAAAGGAAGCAGTAATAGTTTGGGGTGGGGGGAGGGTGTATCTTCCTCAAGCAGACCATAGATAGACCTTGGCTTCAAACCCTTAAAGACCTACAAAGGATCTCTTTTAGCTCCACTGCTCTGGTTTCCTTTGGGATCTGACTGGGTGATTCCCACCTCTGTCTGGCGCGTAGCAAAAATAAACTTTGGGGTTGTTTTTATTTTTTTAAAGCTAAAGCATCTTTCAAAACCAAAAAAAAAAAAAGAAGAAAAAATAAAGTAAAAAAAAAAAAGTCAAAAAGTCCCTGCAAAACAGGTCTGCCTGCCTCAGCCGCCGGAGGAGCAGCTTTTTCTTTGAGCCCTCTTCCCCGAGATACAGCCAGGGCTCTGTAGCGGGCCCCCCCCGCCCCCCAGTCTGTATTCGCTCTCGGGGAGGTGGAAGGCTTATCTGTCCGCAGTGATGGTCGCGATCTGCAATGCAGACACGCAGAGCCGCCGCATGCCCCCGGGGGCAGGCTCTGGGTTCCCCTCCATTCTTTGCATTCGGGTGGGGACCAGAGGGGAGGCGGAGGTGGGGGAGAAAAGAGTGTTAAATTGGG